ACACACACACCAATGGAACAGAATGGAGAACTCAGATATAAATCAACACATTTGTAGCCAACCCTTTTTAACAAAGGCACCAAGAATATACAATGGGGAAAGAACAGTCTCTTTAATAAATGGTGCTGGGAAAAATGGACAACCACCTGCAGAAGAATGGAACTGCACCCCCTATCTCTCAACATATACAAAAATCAAATCAAAATGAATTAAAGACTTAAATTTAAGACCCAAAACTATAAAACTACTAGAAGAAATCCTTGGGGAAATGCTACAGGACATTGGTCTGAGCAACGATGTTCTGTGTAAGACCTAAAAAGCACAGGCAACCAAAGCAAAAACAGACAAACAGGAACACACCATAAAAAGCTTCTGTACAGCAAAGAAAACAAACAACAAAGTGAAAAAGGCAACACCACAGAATGGGAGAAAATATCTACAAATTTTCCATCTGACAAGAAATTAATAACCAGAATACATAAGGAACTCAAACAACTCAATAGCAAAACAAATCCAATTTTAAAATGGGCAAAAGAGCTGAAGAGTCATTTCTCAAAAGATGGCACACAAATGGCCAACAGGTATATGAAAAAATGCTCAACATCACTAATCATCAGAGCAATGCAAATCAAAACCACAATGAGACATCACATCACCCCAGTTAAAATGGCTTTTATCAAAAAGACAGGGAATAACAGGTGCTGGGGAGGACATGGAGAAAGGGGATGTATGCTGTTGGAAGAAATGTAAATTAGTACAGCCACTATGGAAAACTTTAAAAACTAAAAATAGAACTACCATATGATCCAGGAATTCTACTACTGCGTATATAGAAAAAAAAATCAATGTATCAGACAGACATCTGCATTGCCATGTTTATTTGCAAGCACTATTCACAATAGCCAAAACATGGAATCAACCTAACTGCCCATCAGTGGACAAATAAAGAAAATGTGGTATACAAACACAATGAAATACTATAAAGCCATAAAGAAGAATGAAATCCTATCATTTGCAGCAACATGGATGGAAATGAAGATCATTTTGTTAAGTGAAATAAGCCAAGCACAAAGATAAATATCACATGTTCTTACTCATATGTGGGAGCTAAAAAATAGTGGATCTCATGAAAATAAAGAGTATATTGGTGGTTACCAGAGGCTGGGAAAGGTAACAGAGAGAGAGAGGAGTGAGGTTGATTAATGGGTACAAAGAAATGGTCTGATACAAGAAATAAGACCTAGTGTTTGATAGATAAGTAGGGTGATTACAGAAGATAATAATTCAAATGTTCCTAACACAAAGCCAAGACAAGGTCAGGCATAATGGCTCATGCTTGTAATCCCAACACTTTGGGAGGCTGAGGTGGAAAGATTGCTTGAGCCCAGGAGTTCAAGATCAGCCTGGTCAACATAGCAAGACCCAACTTCTACAAAAAATACAAATAAAATAAATAAGCCAGGTGTGGTGGTATACACCTGAATTCCCAGCTACTAGGGAGGGTAAGACAGGAGGATTTCTTGAGCATAGAAATTTGAGGCTGCAGTGAGATATGACTTTACCATTGCATTCCAACCTGGGTGACAGAACAGAGCCTGTCTAAAAAGAAAAAAGAGAAAGACAAGACAAATATTTAAGGTGACAGATATCCTAATTACATTGATTTGGCCTTTACAAGTTATATAAATGTATTAAATTATCACATGTACCCCCAAAATATGTAAATCACATATTAATTTTAAAAATTAAATAAAAAAAAAAGGCAAGCACATTTGATTCAGGACTCTGGGGCACAGTGTCAACTGTTATTTAAAACCAAAACAACCTAATACTGACCAAAGAAAAAATTCTTGTGTTTCCCCCATCAGAGTTGGCTGAGTGTGGTGGCCCATGTCTCTAATCCTGGCATTTTAGGAGGCTGAAACGTGCAGATCACTTGAGCCCAGGAGTACGAGACCAGCCTGGGCAACATGGTGAAACCCCATCTCTACTAAAGACACAAAAAATTAGCCAGACATGGTGGCATGTGCCTGTAGTTCCTGTTCCTCAGGAGAAGAATGAGGTGGGAGAATCACCTCAGCGTGGAAAGTCAAGGTTGCAGTGAGCCGTGATTGCACCACTGCACTTCAGCCTGAGCAATGGTAGTGAGACCCTGTCTCAAAAAAAAAAAAGAGTCTCTGCAAAGTTCACAATCTAGGCCAATATTTGTTAAGAACTTGGGGTTATATTAGAGTTAACCAAGAAAACAGCTTTTAAAATACACTACAGACCCAGGCCAGGCATAGTGGTTCATGCCTGTAATCCCAGCATTTTGGGAGGCTAAGGAGGGAGATTACTCGAGCCCAGGAGTTCCAGACAGGCCTGGCCAACATGGTGAAATTCCATCTCTACTAAAAACACAAAAAAATTGGCTGGGTGCAGTGGCACACACCTGTAATCCTAGCTACTTGGGAGGCTGAGGCACAAGTGAATAATTGCTTAAGCCCAAGTGGCAGAGGTTGCAGTGAGCTGAGACTGTGACATTGCGCTCCAGCCTCAGCGACAGAGCGAGACTCTGTCTCAAAAAAAAACACTACAGTCAATAAGAATCATTAAAACAATCAGTAATTTCCTCAAAGAACACTCAGCAATTCCAAAAGTTATCAGCAGAGAGCTTCTAGACATCATGGTTAACTGAAGTTTCCTCATAAGATCTTTCCCAAGTAAGCCAGGGAATAAATTCATCCCTGGCACTGATATTCAAATTAAACTGTCAATATCTGATTAAGATTCTAGCTCAAAAATCACACCTGGGACTCTCTATAACAAAAAATTTATCTTCAAGACACACAACCAATATTCAAATGTCAAACTAAATCATACAATCAATTTTCCCAACAGCTTCAGAGAAACTGCCATCTCTTTAGAATACTATTTGTAAAATCTAGCTCTGGGCATGGTGATTCACAAGTGTAATCTTAGCACTTTGGGAGGCCGAGGCAGGAGGACTGTTTGAACCTAGGAGCTCCAGACCAGCATGGTCAACCCAGTGAGACACGTCTCTACAATAAATTTAAAAATAAGCCATGTGCAGTGATATGTGCCTGTAGTTCCAGCTACTTGGGAGGCTGAGGTGGGAGGATCACTTGAGCCCAGGAAGTCAAGGCTTCAATGAGCCATGATCACATTACTGTACTCCAGCCTGGGCAACAAAGCAAGATCCTGTCTCAATCAATTAATACAATCTGTGAACTTTAAGGTCATGTAATTACCAACTCAAAAAATTTGACAGGAAAGAATATTTACTATCTTACTATCCAAAGGGAAATTGCTAACAAGAATTTCTTCCTCCTACGCCCCTAAAGACTATTCCACATCTTCGTATTTTGATTTTCTTAGTGGCTGAAGTTTCTATTAAGCTGGGATTTTTTTTTTTTTTAAAGACAAAGTCTCACTCTGTCATCCAGGCTGGAGTGCAGTGGCGTGATCTTGGCTCACTGTAACCTCTGCCTCCCAAGTTCAAGCAATTTTCCTGCCTCGGCCTCTGGAGTAGGTAGGACCACGGGAGTGTGCCACACCCAGTTAGTTTTTGTATTTTTACAGGGTTTCACCATGTTGGTCATGCTGGTCTGGAATTCCTGTGTGCAGGTGATCCACCCACCTCGGCTTCCCAAAGTGCTGGGATTACAGGTGTAAGCCACTGCACCCAGTCTTTTTTTTATTTTTAGTGGAGATTGGGTTTCACCATGTTGGCCAGGCTGGTCTGAAACTCCCAACCTCAAGTGATCCACCCACCTCAGCATCCCAAAGTGCTGGGATCACAGGCACGAGCCCCCGCATCTGGCTGGGCATTATTTTTTAAGAAGAAAATACAGGACTTCTTTGGATTTCTGTGATCACCAGATATCAGTTTTAAAGAAACTTTTAAAGAAAAGTTTTAAAAAGAAAACGTTTTGCAAAACAAATTGAGCAGTGATTAAAAAATAAAGATAACTGAAGGGCTAAGTATAATAAATACATGAATTCTTAAACATGCCACAACTCTTAATTATTCTGAAGAATATGTCTATCATTAAATAAATAATACTACAAATACAAAGTAAGAAAAATTAGGTGCATGGTGTCATGGTTGGGTAATGATGTAGGTGACATTTGGTTCATCTCTAACACTAATTTAAAAGAAGGTAGGAGTTGAGGCTGGTTCAAGTGCAATAGTGTTTACACTAATTAATCACAATCAGTTACAGACTTCTTTGTTCCTTTTCCAAGCCAAACAGTTCACTTGACTAGCCTAAAATGAAATAAAATAAAATGTAGAAATTGAAAGGTTCTCATTCTTTTTTCTTTTTTTCGGAGACAGAGTTTCCCTCTTTTTGCCCAGGCTGGAGTGCAGTGGCCCAATCTCGGCTCACTGTAACCTCCACCTTCAGGTTGGAGTGATTCTCCTGCCTCAGCCTCCTGAGTAGCTGGGATTACAAGCACACACCACCATGCCCAGCTAATTTTTCTATTTTTAGTAGAGATGGGGTTTCACCATGTTGGCCAGGCTTGTCTCAAACCCCTGACCACAGGTGATCCTTCTGCCTTGGCCTCCCAAAGTGCTGGGATTACAGGCATGAAGGGTTCTTATTCTTTAAATATTTTAGAAATCAGAGATAAGTTCTCTGGAAAGTCTTTTTTCTAACAGTCTCAAAATTACTAAGAATCTGTATTATTTTACTGCCTGTAAAATTTTCAATTACTCTGAATTAAACTCTACAACTTTCACCAAATAAAAATTAAAGATGAAAGGTAAGTCAGATCACAAAAAGGAAAAACAATTTCAAAATGGAGTTGTGTTGAACATAAGCATATAATACTTTAGAATTAGGAAAGCTCTATTCACTACTGTAATCAGATCTGGGCATTGTGTTCTGTTCTGGAGACTAGAATTTAAGAGGAATACTGAAGAACAGGAACAGTTAGAGCCGATGGACCAGTATGACTAAGTACTCAAAATTATGATGTGAATGAATACCCCAGGGCTTGCTTCAGCAGACCCTATACCTAAAATTGGAATACAAAGAAGATTATCATGGCTTCTGAAGAGGATGACACAAAAACTCACAAAGCACTCCATATTTTTTTTATGAACACTGGGCTCGTTAGTGAATTTTGAAACCACAAATTTAAAGGCATGTGCCACCACATCCAGCTAAGAATCTACTTGAGCTGAAGTTTCTCAGTGGAACCCAGGGAGGCTACAGATTCATTTAATATCCCAAGGAACCTCAGAATCTCTTACCTACAAGGTATTTATGCCACTCCTTACATGAGCGTTCTTCTTGAACTATCTACTTCAGGCCTTGAAGATGGCTACTAGATTATTCTTGGCAAGAGCTACAGTAGCAGAGAGCAGTGGTCAAAAGCTTGACTTCTGGAGCTAGAAAGACTTGGTTCTGACATCCAGTACAAACTTCTTACCAATTCTGTGAATATGTTAAGTCATTCCAACTTCATCTTCTGTTTCTTCACTTATAAAAATAGAGATAGATTACTTCACAGTACAGTTATTTGTAATGAAGATTCACTACTGCATTCCAAGCACTTAGAATGCCTGTATGAATAAATGTTAAATTAAAAAAAATATATATCCCAAGGACTAAGGATTATTAGTCTGGAGAAGGAATTATTCAGGAGAGACACATTGTAAAGGCAATTCATGCCTGCAGAGGCATTACATATTCTGATTGGCCTTAACTGGAGACATACAGGTATCAGATTCAGCTTAAAATATTAGATTTGTCTAACAGAGGCACAAGTAGAATAGGCTGCTTTGGGAAATTCTGAGAGGCCAGACAACCATTTAGGGAGAATGTTAGAGAGATTATAAATGAAATAACTGTAGAAATCTCTCCCAATCTGAGATTTGTGTTAAAGAAAGGCTCAAAAGTGGAACTTTCTTAGGACAATGCTCCAGTACTCTTATCTTACCCTCCCCAGATAGCTATAGCAACTTGGCAGGAAAAAAAACAAACAGAATTAAAAACAATCAATGCGATTAGCCACCAGATTACAGGCCAGTAAGACTGCCTGGAAGCAAAGATAAACTAGCCAATTACCTCTCACTTCCTACTTTTAAGCACTGTTTGAGGTTAGTAAGAGGTGGTGACTTCCAGCAATTTCACTGTGGCCTTTTGATTGTACAAAGGGAAAGACGTGGACAACTTACTTTTTTCTTTCATCTAAGTTTCTACTTTAAGAGTTAATTATGAAGCCTCAAATCTTGCTTCAATTTTAACTGAGACCAACTGTTTTTTTCTTATGTGTTTTAGAAAAATTAATTGGCAGATTACCAACTGTGAGACAGTCTATATAATCCTAAAATCTATATTTTCTGCCTTTATATTACACTCCCCAACTAAGTATATGATAAAGGCTATCGCTATTGAGGCATCTGTGCTATAGATGTGTAGATGTAGATATATATGTGTAGATGTGCAAAGAGCTTAGACTAAGCCATGAACTAGCTCTCTGGTGTTAGCAGGTTTTAAATTTTTCCTGAAGCCTTAATTACTTCATTTTTTAAAATAAGATACCTACCTGTCCCAAAACACTCACATGGAAATTAAACTGCAAAGTATACATGGAAGGGTTTTACATACATTAGACACTCAAATATTTGTTAAGAATGATCTGATATAATGATATCAAAACAAATTCACTTCAACAAAATTCTTGCAGAGAGTACTATCAACTACATGGAAAAGATAGATTCCCAATTAAAGTTCATTTTATGAGTTCATTAAAATTCAGCATTTCCAGGGCAGGTTTCTTGGTGTCTTGAAGCAATCAGATAACAGAGATGTTCACATCATCGTCACTCTTACTGTAACTCTGCAACACCATATGTGGTTAATAAGAAACTTTATTTATGGGCTCTAGTTGCCATCCCACCCTCAACCTCACAATGCAGAAATAACTCCATGAAGACTATTTAACCAGCCATCTCGCTAAATATAAAAGTCCTTGGCCACACACAGTGGCTCACACCTGTAATCCCAAGCACTTTGGGGGGCTGAGGTGGGCAGATCACTTGAACCCAGAATTTAAGACCACCCTGGGCAACACTGCAAAACTCCTCTACAAAACAATACAAAAGTTAGGCAGGTGCAGTGGCACCCACCTGTGGTCCCGGCTACTTGGAGAGGCTGAGGTGGGAGGTCACCTGAGCCCAGGAGGTCAATGCTGCAGTTAGCTGTGATCACACCACTACATTCCAGCCTGGGTGACAGAGCAAGACCCTGTCTCAAATATAAATACATATATTTATATATATTTATGAGGCCTTAGTTTTTAGGCACTGTAAATAATAACTACTTTGTTATTATTTTGTTTAGACATCTGAGAATCCAGGATATCATTGCTCATATTTTAGTGATGAATGGGATTAAAATAACTTTAGGGAATCATTTCAGGATTTGATTTCCATTGTTACCCATCTGAAAATGATGGCAGAAGTTGTTTAGAAGTAATAAAGTAAGAGCCAGGCATGGTGGTGCCTGCCTATAGTCCTGAGTCAAGAGACTGAGGTGAAGCCTCAGTCTTCTGGCCTCCCTTGAGCCCAGAAGTTCGAGGATGTAATAAGCCATGAATGTACCATCGCACTCTAGCCTGGGCAACAGAGCGAGACCCCAATTCCAACTCAAAAAATACATAATAACCTAAGAAACCAAACAGAGGTAGGGATGAAATCAGTCTTTGTCACTGCTCTTAGATTTCTGCCTTCATTCAAACAAGCTGATCTAGCAACAAATCTTTGAAAAAGGAATAAACTTTCTTTTCCCCTTTTCTTATTTCCTGCTTGAAAGAACTGTTGTTCCTCAGTTCTCTGGCATGTTCAACCAGGTAAAGAGGCAAGAATGCTAAACACAGAACAAGAGGGAACCCAGGGATCTGGTCCTGGCATCACTCATAATTAACTGTATAACTCCAGGCAGATTTTTAACATTTCTGGACCTGTAAAATCAGGAGTTTCATTAGTATTAATCAAAGTAGCTTAACAGTCTATGAGTCTGCTAGTCACTTGGCAGCAGCCAATGATCTACTGACTAGAAATCATTTGTGGTGCAAGGGACTCATTTTGCAATTCAAGATTTTTGAATTCTTGGCTTCCTTATTATTACAATTTTAGAAATCTGAGTCAGAGTTTCTTATCCCAGCAAGATGTTATAATAATAAAATAAAAAGATTTGCTATAACTTTAATTTTAAAAATAAAACAATTTAGGCTGGCACGGTGGCTCATGCCTGTAATCTCAGCATTTTGAGAGTCTGAGGCAGGTGGATCATTTGAGGTCAGAAGTTCAAGACCAGCCTGACCAACATGGTGAAACCCTGTCTCTATTCAAAATACAAAAATTAGCCAGGCATGGTGATGTGCACCTGTAATCTCAGCTACTTGGGAGGGTGAGGCAGGAGAATAGCTTGAACCCAGGAAGTGGAGGTTGCAGTGAGCTGAGATTGCGCCACTGCACTCCACCCTGGGTAACAAGAGTGAAACTCTGTCTCAAAAAACAAAACAAAACAAAAACAGCATTTTATATAAATTTTTATTTGGGAACATATTCTCAAAGTCTGTGTATATACAAAGTAAGAGACACAAATTAACACATAACATATATTAATTGTGACCCCGAAGTACAAAAGTTCAAAAATGAAATCTAGTCTGCTCACACTGACCAACAGGATCACAGGCCATGATGATATAACATCAAAATAAGTTGATTTTTAGCAAATAACTACCTAGCTCAACACTGTGCTAAATTGCCAAAGTTGTCTTTCTTGAGAAAAAATGCTTTACTGAGATCCCTAAAGAAAAAAGTCTGTTCTAGTAATTACCTTACACAAAACATGATCTTAGCCTATCCTTCTATCTATCTATCTATGATTCTTTGGAAGCAAGATCTTATATCAGCGTTCTGGATAAACCAAAGAGTAGTGGACTTTGGCAACCAAAATTCTTCTCCTCTACTCCTAAGATTCAGAGCTATTCATAAAGTACCCAAATCTCTGATGAATAAAAGGGGAAAACAGAAATTAGCTCACACACTATACACCTTTAGGAGTCTGACTACCCTAAAGCCTGTGACTATTTTGTTGTATAAAGGAAAAAGAGGTTAAAGAGTGAACTTTGCTTTCCATTATGTTGAACCTTCATCATAAAAGGTGCTGCTTCTGAACAGAAAGACAGGAACTCAGACTTTAAAAAAACAAACTTTGGCCAGGCGTGGTGGCTCATGCCTATAATCCCAGCACTTTGGGAGGCTGAGGCAGGTGGATCACTTGAGGTCACGGGTTCAAGACCAGCCTGGCCAACACAGTGAAACGCCATCTCTACTAAAAATACAAAAATTAGCCTGGTATGGTGGTGTTCGCTTGTAATTGCAGCTTCTCAGGAGGCTGAGGCAAGAGAATCGCTTGAACCTGGGAGGTTGCAGTGAGCCGAGATCACACCACTGCACTACAGTCTAGGCAACAGAGCAAGACTCCATTTCAAAACAAAAACAAAAACAAAAACTTTAAGAAGCATCCCTATGTTATTACACTTTGCATAACAAATTTACTAAGATCAGGAAAAGTTAGCTTATCTGTATCTTCATTTTTACTCTTCCAAGAACTATACCTGATGCTCATATGAGATCATTAAGGATAATCAAAATATCTCTGGGCCAATGAACACATATTTATATTAAAGGAAACTCAGTATCGAGGGAAAAGACGTAGCCATAACATTCTGGCCTTCAGAAGCAGGGTCAATAAACCTGTAAGTTACTTGCTTTGACAATTAAGTTTTAATGGAGAACAATTAGAAAGCCAAAAATACATCTTCATCTCTAACTTATGCCTACTTTTCCAGTCCCATATTATTAAATGCCTATAAGACATTCTCTGCACAGTAGGTGTCAGCCACCCAACTAAAACTGATGGTTTTCCCTAAAAAAATACAATTTTTCAACTGTTTAGTGGAATTGGACTGTATTTTCTAACTGATTCTCCCAAGCAAATCTTTGAGTTTAAAAATTTTTTATTCTAACAGTTATTATTTATTCCTGTCATCAAATTCTACCTGTTCTATTGTCCATCC